GATACGAAATTAATCCGTTCCGAAACTGAGATCGTATCATGAAAATGTCGTAAGGTGGATCATCTTTTCCCATACGATTACATGTAAAATCAAATAATTCGTTCCAATGCGAAAAACATACTCAAATTAAAGCCAAGTAATACATTAAAAAAATAACTGTAGTAAGAAAAACAAATGAAAAATGCGAACTAATGTAACGTCGTATGGTGAGTTTTTGTTCGTATCGTGGAGCAAAAATATGTTCGAATTTCATGTCGTATCCTGAAAATTTCGTATGCTGGGGCGTTCGTAACCTGAGGTACCACTGTATACAATAGCAATCTTTTTTTCACGTGTAGTATAGAAATTTGTAATAAGATACATAATACGGTTATAATAAAATATTGTGCGATTATTTTTACATAATTAAAATTAATATGTATTTATTTTTTATAAAATACAAGGGAAGCGGCGCTTCCACCGCTTCTAATGACGGCACGCTACTGATAATTAATACATGTTAAATTTCTGGACACAAATATACACACCTTTGCTAAATGTTCAAAATGCAAACTGACCTATGGTTCAGTTCAGCATAACTTTGGACTAGTTTAACTGATGAAAAGAATGTACTTTTCTCACGAAAATTCCCTAGAGATCTTCTATCGGATTGACGTTTGTGAAGCATGCAGCCAACCGGAACTTCTATATCGTTATTTTCTGAAACTATGGGAGTGTACTACGACTAGAACTGAGTTTGCATTTTTTGCTGAAATGTAAATTGTATGTACTGATGTTGAAAAAATGGCAGGAGATGACCGACAAGAGTCTCTTGATAATCCGAGCCATTAATTCTTAATGAAACAAGAGATGTTTATGCTGATAACCATTCTTTTCATTTCTTGCAGCGCTAAATGCCAGCAAACCACCATGCTTTGACTGTCCTGATAGACTGAACGGATAATGGCATGAGTTAATAAAATAACCTGTTTAAGTGTAACTTTGTTGATATAGCGTGATGGTTTGGGAGGTATTTAACGCTGAAAGAAAATTACCTTTAGCTTTTCTGTTTCATCAAGAATTAACGATTCTGATTATCAATCGACTCTTGTAGGGCATCTCCTGCCATTTTTTCAACACCAGTACACCAGTACCCTTTACATTTCAGAAAGAAATGCAAGCTCCACTCTAGTCGCAATACATCCCAGTAGTTTCATAATAACGATATTGACATTCCTGATTGGCTACATGCTTTAGAAACCTCAATCCAATAGAGGGCCTTCGGGGAATTCTCGTGAGAATTCGTGAGAAAAGTACGATATACGCAGATAACCATTCTTTTCATCAGTTGAACTCCTAAAATAAAGCCATTTCGCAGGACTGGAAAGAAACTGATGTGATGATAAATTCTTGTTCACAGTATGTCCAACATAATATTTCAATTAATAAATAAAAGCGCATGCCTAACCAATTATTAATAATATAATATTTTGTGACTTCACATTCCTTTCTAATGTTCTTTCTTTCTTTCTAATGATGACAATTATCATCATTAGTTTAATATGCGTGTCAGAATACATATACAGTATATTCTCATCCATGCACTCTGAGTCTAATATCCTACAGATTGCAATTTTGTGTAGATCTGTTTACAGTAGTTTATATTAAGCTGCACTCAGATATATTATCAATATATAGAAATAATTTACGTAGTGTATTACATAGTATAATATGCGATAAATCATCGAAAAACTAAAATTCTTTGACAAATTATGTGCTTGAATTAATTCAAACAAGAGGATTATATTTATATTATGCATCTATGTTACAAAGTTTAATTTACCTTCCTTGATATGACAATTTACAGTTTTTGCTTCGTTTATTAACAAGTGAGACGTAAATCCTAAATCCTCATATCGTAAAAACTTACAACATAAAAAGAAATATACGATGATGCAATTGAAAATGTACAATATGTACAGTAAAACCTGTGTAAACCGTGCAATTCCGGTTTACACAGGTTTTCCGGTTTACCCAATATTTTCCGGTTTGACAGGTTTTACTGTATTTTCTGCTGTGAAGTGTGTATATTTTGCTTTTATTTAGTTAAATTAACCAAGTTTCGTGCTGTAGTTTTAATTACATCATCATCTCAAGTTTTAATCAGCATAAATATTTGTTGTTTCCACGAATAAAAGATTAAATTTAAGCATAAAATTTACAATATTTACATATTTAAAATTACTGGATGTATTTAAAAAAATCAGTTTTCAAATATTAAATTCCAACAATGAGTATTCTTATAAGCAAAATTTCCACAAAATTAAACATAATTTTTTAATGAAAAGTATTCGATTTAAATATTTATTCAGGTGTACAAGTTTATAAAAAACTAAATGTTGATTTTTATCAGTTTACTCAGTTTATCAGTCGAAATTACACGTGAAAGGCGATTAATGAGTACATATTAGTTGAAGAATTGTCTTCTACACACCCATTTGTTAAGGCAATTTTCTCTACAATTAAAGCCAATAGAATACAGTGACGTATTCTATTATCTAGGTATGTGTAATGTTACACATACCTGGATAATATTAAAAAATATAAACTTTTAATCTATTTATAAATGCATTAAACATTTCTAACTGAAGAAATAATTAATAAAATTTTATTATATTTAATTGTGTAAAGAATTTAATAAAAGCGTTGCACATATAACGCGCGTGAAACGTAATAAGGTGATAAGAAAATTATCTTTCGAAGGATCCTAGATAAAAATGCTTATATGTTATCGAACCCTCCACTTGTGCACTCGGATATTTTCCTTTGGGAATACATTTGTACTGGTAAAAATTTTTATTTATTATATAATTTTAATAAATAATAACAATAATTAGAACTCTCCCTCTTATTAATATTATAAATAATATTCTATTGTTTAAATGGCTTAATTATAACTATTTATACAAAGATAATATCAATTTGCGACTGTTTAGGAAAATATGTTTAGCATCGCTCGAATATCGGTTAACCGATACAGATCTGAATCACTAACAGCTGTTCCATATTGGTTCTAATCGTTTCTAAATTATAATCTCGGTTAACCGACTTTTGCACCATTTTGTTTATATCTTCGTTATCTCGATTTAGGACGTATTTTTTGAAAATATGTATATAGGGCCTATATAATTTTAAATTTGACGTCTTTCGAGGAATTTTTGTCACTCTAAAAGCTTGCTCATAATGAAGATTTTATAGTATTTCCCGTTTATTTTTTATATTAAATATTGACTTTACATACTGTAATAAATTTTTGTAAAGTATGCAATGAGGTATTTACATGGATGATTTGGGTTTTGTATCCTACTAGAGGCTTAATTTTTTTTTTCATTCTATCTACATTATAAATCATCCTCCCATAACAAAATCTTAGTTATTCCACTGTTTACTTGTAATTATCACTACCAAAATTCTCTTATAAAGCATTCACCCCAGTAAAAAGTGAATGAGTTATAAATTCTAGTAACAGGAGAAGACATACTGAAATATAAACATTGAAATAACAGCCTGTATTTCGAAAAAACTAGATTTTTTATGAAAATTATTTCTTCATAAAGGATTATTTTCAACGAAATGAATGCGGTTTTCATCATATATTTCCTGATGATTTATTTACATAAAGAATAGATCAGTTATTTTTTAAATATTTGACCTAGTTATGAAGATCTTATTTAAATAATTTAGATTATTTCATTACAAAATAACGATGCTTAATAAATAATCACTCTAATATCATCAAACACGCAGCACAATACACTACAACATTGTAAGTAGCCTGAAGTTTTTATTTTTAATTATTGAATTTGTGAAACAGATTTAATTTTAAGAAAGTTATAATTTAATTAGCAATTTAAATATGTTTAAATTTTATAAAATAATTTTTATGCAATAATAATAATAATAATAATAATAAAATTAGAGTAGCGAGTTAAGGCAGGTATACCGGTACATGTGTACCCGATTTTAATGTTTGATGTATATGGTACGGCCGAAGCCAGTGAATCCGATTAGCCGGCTTTATTCAAGTGTTTTTGCTACAGATAACAACTGGAACTTTAAACTTTATTTGCATAAAGCGCGCTTTATCCTAGGCACAAGCAGTTAAATTTCACTTTCGTTAGACATTTTTATTAATGCCAGTCTTGGAATTTACCTAAATTAAAGAATAACAATTAAAAACCATATAAAAATCGAACGTGTCGGACTATACCTGGCTGCAATTTTTAATTATAATTAATTTAAAAATCATCTGGCATACGGTTGAGGTTGGAAGTTGGTGTATAGTTAATCGGAGCCTCTGACTCCTGCGCTATCCATATATGCTCTCGATTTTCCAATTATCTAACTGTGTTCTCGATATTAATGAAGGACAGTCAGACGTACGAAAGTAATAATATCTTTCTAGATTGAATTGCAGCCTAATTTGAATTAGAAATGAATTTTATTGATAGTAAATAGATTAAATTACATAAAATACAATATAAAAATAAATAAATTCATAATTTTATAGTTATCAAAAAGAAGGATTCATTTAAAATCAATTTAAATTATTTAGGCCCTACATAAAACAAAATTCCAAAGCAGTTTAGATATTTTAAATAAAAATATCTCCTCTCTGCGTAACATAAAACGACCAAATACCATTTTTATCTAGAATATAAATAGCAAAATTTAAGAAATAATTTATCAGTATTTTATCAGGACACATTGCAAAATAAGTAGGCAAGTATTAAAAGTTATTTTAATTAGTTAATAATTAATAAATTTAACATTAGCATACTTACGTTGAGCTATTTTTAACTATAACGTAGTGTCTAATTTCTAAATTGTTTAGTTTATTAATATTTTTAATGTAAATTAAGCAATTTTAATTAATTTAAAGGTATACTGAAGATAACTGAAGAGGTATAGAATTAAAAACAGAAATAAAATGATCGATTGTATATCTATTAGGTATGTATCAATATTAATTTCTGTTTTTTTATTAAAAATAGCTTATGTATTCTAAAACCGTGTCTTCTTTTATCTGTTTTTATCTTCACGATTAGGTGCATAGGTAGACACAGGGCATTTATTTCTACATCATCTTTATTCGGAATATCCTATAGGCCAATACGCATTTCGGGCATTAGCCCCTCACCTGTCGGCATGACTTCCGGGATTTCTTGTAGGTGGTGTCGACACGTATACATTCCGTTTAAAATTACTTATTTAAATTGTATAGTTTAAAATATATATTTTAAACTATAATGTTATTTAACAGTAAAACAATTTTAACTGTAAATAAGTAATTTTAAACGGAATGTATACGTGTCGACACCACCTACAAGAAATCCCGGAAGTCATGCCGACAGGTGAGGGGATAATGCCCGAAATGCGTATTGGCCTATAGGATATTTCGAATAAAGATGATGTAGAAATAAATGCCCTGTGTCTACCTATGCACCTAGTCGTGAAGATAAAAACAAACAAAAAAAGATAGCATATTTGTTTCGGAATGATAAAGAATCGAAAGTCTTAATGTATTTTAATTTATGATAATGCTGTCAAATTTATGCCAGATAGGATATATTAAGATAAACTACTAAATGTTTGGGGCGTTTATGAATTGAAAGAAGTGATAAATCAATAGTGAAGTGATAGATAAAAGTGAAGTAATAAATCAATAGTATTAACTGTACTTGAATTGGGGGTGGATGGAAAGTAACTAGGCATAGAGAAATCTCTATAATTTTTTGTAATAATAATGAAATCGTTATAAAATTTTTGTATCAATTCTTCTTCGCCTGGTTAATGTATTTGGAAATTTAGGCGTAAATTTTCTTCATATCACACTCACACCTTTCAATCACTGTAGTAAAACAAAAAACTTGTTTAATTCTTTATGTAGCCTAACTGTCCGGCATAAATAACCACGTTTTACAAATTTCTTATTTGTCGCATAACACTGTTCAAATGTCTGAGAAGATTCCTGATTTCTTTGTTTTGTGCGTGGAGCCATTGCTATGACATTGGATTAAAAATAACTTTTATATTATTAATTATTATAAAAATGCAAAAGGTTTAAATCTGAGAGTTAAGAATAATTCCAAAACTTTGTAAATGCGAATAACCAGTAAAACTATCATCTTCCCACCCTCTTGACTTTTAACCACAAAAATTTAATAATATCAATGCCTCTCTACACAGAAATAACCCTTCCAAGTTTCGAAATTTTTGATTCATCCATTCCTCAGATATAATGCAAAATAGATGCAAACATACACCTACAGAATTTTGTAAGATTCCTTTTGTTTACATTTTTTGCATTTTTAATGTTTTTTCAAATGAGTTATTTCATATCTAACAATAAATTAAATATTTATGTAATATAGTATAACCATTATGATTCAGTAACAATGTGTCATTACAATTAGGTTAACATTTCATTAATGATTGCATAATTTTAATCATGAATCAAATTTAAACTTTATTAGATAAAATATGATTAAGTATTTCAAAAGATTACAGATTGTTTGTAGATATTGCATAAGTTATTAATATAAATTTTAAAGATTAAAGGGATTGAGCGTCTTGTGTAGTATATCGAATAGGATTGAACTTAATAAATATTTTACTTGTTAATAGCATTTATAATTTTTTTATAAAAGTCATTCCTACGCTCAAAATTAAGCCTTTTGTCATTTTATAATAATTAATAATATAAAAAGATTTTAAAATAGAATATCATAAAAGATAGCGCCACACACAATTTTAAAAGTTTTTTTTTTCCGGGAAAGTTCCTCAACTCGTTACTGGAAACTTTTAATTATGTTTGTGAGGGGCTAGCCGGAGATACGGAGTAGTTAAGACTCGTGTACCACTTAATCGGCAAACTATTCTTATGAATAGCCCTCTGTTTGTGTTACAAGGATGGTTTTCCTAATTCAAGGAAATCGAGTGTGGAGGGACTTACAGTTTGAATGTTAATTTAAAGCGGAATTAGATGATCGCGTAATCACCCTTTTCCTTCAGTCAGGATTCCCGACACTAGTTAATCAGTTTTATATTACGCGGATTAACACGCGTTATCTCTAACTTGAGAGTAAGAGGAGCGAAGGAAATTTAAAGACGAATGAGTATGAATAGCTAATATTAACCAAACCGTTTTTATATAACAAATCAAAACATTTAATGAATCAAAATATAAAAATATACAAAAGAATGAATCTAATCTAATCCTAATCCTAAATCTTAACCTAAGATTATTTCTAAACCTAACGCGTGAGAGAGAGTTCACATCGATATAACTTATATTACCTTCCACAGGTCTTTCATATATTCTCTGTATCCATATGAAGGTGTTCTTCCTTCCTTGATATTTCTCTTCTTATAGTTTCTATGGACAGTTCTTTTTAATCTTCTCTTTTATCAATCTTGTATACTTCGAATGTAGTACTATGTTTTTATGACTTCCTTTCGGATTTGTATAACAGCCTTGTATGACGATATTTTCTTCTGACGATATCTTTCTTCGTATGACAAACCTCCTTTCGACGGACTGCCTTTGTCTTATGTCGGACTTTCTTCGTATGGCAATCTTTTTCCAACGGACTGCCTTTGTCGTATGGCTAACTCTCTTCGTGTGGCAACCTTCCTTCGACGGACTGCCTCGAGTGGCGGGAAAACGTCCCTTTTATTTGCTATCCAGTAACGTATGCAAAAACTCATGCGACTCATCACGAGTCGGCCTGGGAAAGGAAATCAACTTCCTTTCAAAAACGAAAGTTTCATCCTGTTTGTAAAATTCGTTGAATAAGAAAAAATATTATTTTCTGTTAATTTTTTCTTCTTCCTCTCAACTTTGTTAATTTTCAGAATGACCCTCTCCTGAATTTCCATATTCTCACATGTTAATGATTTTGCGAGATTGTATTAAACCAATATTTACAGGTAAAACATTTAAAATTTATGTTTCGTATACTTAACAGAATAATAATTTGCATTGAATAGAGCCTAAAAATGCATGTAAGATTACGATAACTCTTCAGCATGTTCACACATGACTACACATTTTCTAATAACTTTAAGCAATAATAAATATTTATATGATATACATTCATTGACAAAAATATTGCGCACTAATCAAGTGGCGTTGGATCGCGTGACGATAGTAGTAAGTGATTACAATATCACAGCAAAGGTAAAATGTTCTGTGAAATAACGGTACAATTTCGAAACTTTAGTTTCTTGTGAGACCTCTTGCCTGAATATATACGACTGTACAAGCAGGCATGCAAGCATACAGGTATCGTATGGCATTCCGCGACAAATTCTCCACATATGTTAAAACTGCCACTCCACATCCCTAATGCTCGTAGATGGCCAATGCTAGATCCAACCTGCTCCCACAAAGCATTTGTGGGAGAAAAATATGATGATTGGGCAGGCCAAGAAAATGTAAAAATGTAACTAGTTGTATATGACTTAGTAAGACATCACTTCAAAATCATTGATTACGACATGCTACAAGCTGAAACTCATAAGGGTATTTGACCGTTGTGCCATGAATGTTTCTTGCATTATAACTAGGATGATCACTGTCATATGAGATGGTTCCATATTTTGCAAGTCAGCGTGTAGGTAATTTGCCACACAACTGCGAAAACAGAATAGACACACTCGCCGAGACTCCTGTACACTAACACCTAATATTTACAACTCGGAAAGAATGATTTTGCCTCACCTTAAGGCAAGAGAGAATAACAGAGGCTATAGCTTAATCACTAAATATCCTGTATAGTTATTTAATCATTTGCGAATTATCTTAACAAAATACATAATTCCAGAGAGTGGAGAAGTCAAGAAGGTACAGTATATATATAATTTTTTATAATACTTATGAAAAAAGATGTTTTTAATAAAATTCTAAATTATATTATATTCTGTAGTTATGATACAGTATTTATATAAAATATATTTATGATTATTTTTACAAGATATTCCGTGTGGTCAGGAAGAACGAGTTTGGAAAGATTATTGATCATAACATCGTTGGTTATGTTTATATTGAGTATAAGCCTTATTATATCTCTAGCAGTTATAGATAAAAAGCTTTCAGGTAAGTCCTGAAATTTATTTATCCTTACACTTTTACATCTCAAGTTAATTTTGTTTTTTCTTTTTGTCCTTAATTTCATTAAACGTTTCTACTAACGTTAACCAGTTATTTATGTTAGGGCTTATCACACCAGTGAATATGAACACAAAAATTTCTTAAATTCTTATAATATAATCGAGATGGGTTGATGATAATAATACTGTAATAATAATAATATTATTATTATTATTAAGCGCAGAGCCCAAACGGTTAGGAGTTGAAAGTTGAAATTTGGTACTCAGGATATACCATGAGAATGCAGAGTAAGAAGGAATTTTTGGAAATTTTCTTTGGCAAGGAAGAGAGAGGGAGAGAAGAATTCAGTATTGATATTACTTTGAAGTACTGGGCTTCTACTGTTCTATTCTATATGCGGTTTTTTGCAGGAAATCGAACATTTTTAGGCCTATCTAAAAATTCTCTAATTAGTGTCGGAAGAGGGGGACCTAATTCTTGTACCCGGTAAAAACGGGTAAAATCGGCAATAATCTAATAATCTTAATGTTTGCTATCGTTACTTTTTTCCGAGCAACGCCGGGCTCATAATATATATTTACGTTTACAAATCAGAGATTTTACAATAATTAAAACTAATATGTATAAAATACAGTGGGTAATCGGTTAACGAACATAATCCGTTCCAAGATCATGTTCGTTACCGAATTGTTCATTAACCGATTATCAATTTACCATAGATTTTTATGGAAATTTGATTAATTCGTTCTGGAGACCCCAAAATATAAATAAAAAATTATATACTTTCTTACTATATTTACATGTAATAATAAAAATACATATACGCAGTCTTGCATTTTTATCAGTCATGTTTTTTTTCCGTTTGTGGGACGTTAAAGTGGTCCAATGTCGATTGCCTTTCTCTATTCTTCAGAATTTTTCGCAAGCAATTAATAGCATTATCATTGTAGAGATTCCCAAACCTATTAACCTCAACTTGGTTTGGATGCAATTCTATGACCGTTGTTCTGATATTCTCCCACGTTTTCAAAAGATCTTTAATATCAGATGTCGACATTAATCCTCTTTCGTCTTTTTCCTTTTTAGAAGAAAACACATCTCGCTCAGTTTCTTGGTGTTCTTCATTCAAGGGTTCTTGGAGTTCTTTTGTCGTCAGATCAGTTTCAGGTTCCATTACGAGTTCTTCAATGTCATCTTCATTCACCTCCAATTCCAGCTTTCTAGCAGTTGTCACAATTTCATCCATAATTTCAGGGACATCACCTCTGTCTCCTGAATGCAGGAGGGCACAGCTTTTGCCAAGCAGAATTCAACTGTCGTTGAGTCACTTCTGATCATGCCTTTTGAATGAGCCGCATAGCTTCACAAATATCAGATTTTTCTTTCCAAAACGTTTTTAATGTCATCGTTGAGGAGAACTAGCATGCTTCAAAACACAAAACAGTGCTCGAATGTACAATTTCTTGAAACCAGCAATAACCTCTTGATCCATTGGTTGAATCAACGAAGTGGTATTTGGAGGCAGAAACTGAACTGTTAGCCAGGAAGTCTTCCAGCAAATTATCTTCAAGGTCTTTAGGTTGTCCTGGTGCATTGTCCAATGGCAACAGAGCTTTCAATGACAATTCATTGGTCTGAAGATAATCCTTGATGCTTGGAGCACAATTGAAACAGTCATTTTTTGAAAAGAGCTTGCTTGACCCTTTTATTCGATTTCCACATCACTGGCAGTCTTTTTTTAATTGTGGAATTTTTTGAATGCTTTGGGTTCTCAGTGTGATAGACAAGAAACGGGATAAGCTTCATATCACCACTAGCATTTGCTCCCAATGTAACGTCAATCGGTCTTGCATAGGTTTATGCCCAGTAATATTTTTCTTGTCTTTTGTGATGTATGTACGGTTCCACATAGACTTGTTTAAGCCGTACTGCCTAGCAACATCAGACATCATCTGTCCACTCTTTATCTTGGCTATTAAACTCTCACCTTTCGAAAATAAAAACCGACGCAAAACTTAACGAGTGCCTGAAATCTCGCAAAGACTATAAAAAATTATTTGTCAGAAAGGTAACAAAAAGCTGGAATTACAATTACAATGGAGTATTTCAAAGTTCGAAGGAATATTATCAGATCGGAATCGGGTTGAGCGTCTATGTCTACGTGTCCTGTGCTCCGAAAAGTTTCAAAATGTCACCTGGAGACAATAGAAAATGAATCGGTATTGGTTATTTTACGTCCCTTCTTTTTGTGTTTGTTATGTGATGTGTTCGTTGTCCGTACATTTGTTATGTGATGTGTTCGTTGTCGGATAACGAACACTTTCGCGAAAGTGTTCGTTATCCGATTTTTTCGCAGTCTGAACTGTTCGTTAACCGATCACCCACTGTATATAAAATCTACGTAAAATGCATTTCGGACTCTAAAATAGTCCCTTTTCAGTTGGTGTTTCAATTAAACTTCACAATATAAAAATACATAAAATTTATATTAAAAGGCCGAAATAACGATGAAGACATCACAAAAATTATCGTAATATCTCTTTGTTTTGTAAACTTAAATATATATTAAATATAAATAATTTTAGTGCTCACATTCACTGATGTGATAAGCCCTAACATAAATAATTGGTTTAAGTTAGCAGAAACGTTTAATTTTATTTTATTATCCTTGTGGTATAAATACAATATTTTGTTGCTAACGTATTGAAATGCTACGCTGGAGCAAATCTATTTATAGTAATTTACCATGTTTGTGTTGTTATAGTCCGCGCTGCGAAAGAATGAATAGACATGAGTCAATTTGAGCTGGAAGGGAATAGGCCTATGAGTCAGCCTGTCAAATGAAATGGATGTAAAAGCTGATACGTTGATCTGATCTCTCAACACCCTAAACACCAGAATTCGATGGGGGGTTCGCGCCTCACTCGGACGAGCTGGCAGCGGGAGTTTTTTCGGGTTTTTCTCCTTGCCAATGATGCCTGAATAGGGGCCAACTTCCCCTCGAAGTTCTCCCGGAAGGCATTCTGTCCCCCCTTCTCGAGTGGGCAGTCTCCAATAAGCCCGGCTTTGGTCGCTTCGTGACCTCTCTCCTGTCTTCCTCGGATTGATCGTCTTCGATAAGGCCGCTTCTTCGATCGCTGAGCGATTCTGTTCTTCCGGAGTGAAAAGCGAAGGCTACAACACTCCTTTATCGAGAATGAGTAGAGTTGATCTCTCAACTGTATTTTTTACATTTTAAAAACCTTCTTATACTATCTTCTGTCTTTACCGTGAATAATTTTATTGTTTTACATTTTATTTTTAAAATTTTATTATTGTAGTCAATGTGTCAAGTTCCACATTTCTCGTTCCATCCCTTTCATTTGACGCTCAGACTTTTTAAAAAATTCTTTACGCCCTGTGGGCACTCAGAGGGTCTCTTTTAGTATGGGTTCGGCCAGGCCCACAATGGAGTGACCGGGTGGTAAGGGACAGGGCCCGACATACCCAAACGGACCACCCCCGAAAAATTCCTGGGAAATTCTCGACCCGTCCGGATCGATGCCGGTTCCCCAGAGCGGGAGCCTGCCACCTGGACTGCTCGGCCATCCGGCCTATCCCGCTCATACTGACTCATGTCTACTCTTTCGCTGCACGGACTATACACGTGGTTCGCGTTTAAAAAGTATCTACGTAATAAATTAAAGTATACAGTACTACTACTTTCTCCATTGTTATGTTACTGTTGTGATTACAGTAAATACGGCGTTTCTAGTCTCTCGTGTAGAATGTATTGCACATCTACGGAAAATATTGCACACAATAATTACTTTGTTCCTTTTCCTCAAACTATTTCTTGGGCAGATTTTGCATATTTAGTAAATATTTTCATAATATATATTCTGTTAATTGGAGTGTTTGAAATGAATAGGTCGAAGTTGTATGTTGTTTTATTTGGTCAACGAATGTGGAATTTAATTTGTTGTCCTGAATGTATCTGTAATATTATTATTCTGAAACTTAAACAGTAGTTGAAATTTATATTAAATTTTTGTTATAATTACTAAGTAATCTTACATTTTTAATGATATAATATATAAATTGTAAGCATTATGTTTGCGCGATTAAATAATATTTTTGTATTTTAAACTAAATTTTCTCTTTTAAAAGATGCGAAAACTTCACCAACACCTGAAGATGAAACTACTGTTAGTCTGGACTATACTACTTCAAGCCCAGAATCTAATAATTATAGCACTGCTGAAAATCCCAATAATGGCACTTCTGAAAATCCCAATAATGGCACTTCTGAAAATACCAATAACGGCACTTCTGAAAATCCCAATAACGGCACTTCTGAAAATCCCAATAACGGCACTTCTGAAAATCCCAATAACCAATAACGGCACTTCTGAAAATCCCAATAACGGCACTTCTGAAAATCCCAATAACGGCACTTCTGAAAATCCCAATAATGGCAATTCTGAAAATCTCAACAGTAGCACTGAAAAAATTATAACTAACGAAAGCACGGGATATGAAGACCCTAACAGAACTAAAAACTTAGAAACACTATAGCAATACACCAAATGCAGTACCTAAACATAAAACAATTGCTGTAAATTCTAATTCTTAAAATATCGTAAAGTCAAAATTCCGATGACGATACCGTAAACCGAAAATTTCGAAGAATACCTTAAACTCAAAATCTAGAAGTAATTTACTTCCATTAGTTAGTAGTCAAAACTTACATTATTTTAACCCAGATTTTGAAATTTACAGTTTGGCCATGAATTCAAAAATGTGAAATTATTAGCCTCTCCTCAAGTCAAAACAACAGACATTAATAATAATTTTCAGAATCTGAAACTCGAAAGAAAAATTAGATTTAAAGAGAAATAACACAGCAAATTATTCATGTAAAGCATGTCACAATATTAATTAATTATCTTTAAATTAACTTAACTTGAAAACATATTCTGTTTTACAAACGTTCGATTTATATTATTTCCTGTAAATACTAAGGGTGTGTAAACTAGAATCTGGAATATGAAAGTTAATTTATTTTGAAAGTTATGGGGTTACAAAATAAAACATATTTAGTTAGTCTATTAGTTTAACGAAATCGTATATGTCTGTACTCCATAGTCTGTTGTCCTTCGAATCTTTTCACACGTTTCAAAAAATTCTGGAAATCCTCAATCGTAAAATGGTGGCGCTTGTTCTGAATTCATTTGCAAGGCTCTGCAGTGGAATTGGCCTCCTATACTCTCCGTCATACACACTCTACTTTAAGTGACATCAAATTTGTTTAATTCGTGTCAGTTGGGGTACATTATGTGCATTATTTTCCTATGTCATGTTAAAGTCAAAGTCAAAGTCAAAGTCAAAGGCATTAGTGGAATGTCACCGTATTTGACAAAATCACGTAAAACACTGGTCTCTTCTTGATATACTCCATACCCATACCGATACTTCCGTGTTGCTGCTAAGTTTAAATAATGCGATGAAGGTCCGTCATTGCCCGCGCGGACTTATAGATACCCAAGCCTAAACCTTTGTCAGGAGCTTTGCATAACATTTAAACTTCATATTTGGCATAACGTCTTTTCCAGCGGCGCATGCAGGGGACACAATGTTTTTTAAAAAAGTCTTTCCGTCCTGTTGACATTAAGAGGGCCTCTTTTAGCATGCTCATTATAAGTAGTGAGGGGCCAACATATCCGGATGGACCACCCTCGAAAAATTCTTGTGGATTTTTCGACTCATTCGAATTCTATCACGGTATTCTCAGAGCGGTAGGCTGCAACCTTGATCAGCGCTCTCACAAGACGGCACTGGTTGCAATCAGGCTAACTTAGCTTTGAAAACAAAAATGTTTCTTGTTTTCACGACCAAGTTTTGGTCAACATACGACGAGTTTGCATGGAAAATGAACAAATATCGTTCATTAGTTTCTTTTATATTTGCAGAATAGGCTAGAAGTGATAAATTTTTTGATGTTTGTTGATAATGGAATATGAAACTCCCTTGGGGATTAGGAGAAGAGCAACCGAGACGAAAAGGAAGGCACGTGCCAAAAGTGCCCCAATGTACGAGCGCACCGGGTCCTTCCCTTTTCCACTGTAAAACCTTTATTTCAGTGCCATCCAGTCAAAAAAAAAAAGACTCGTCGTCCTAGTGTGTCCAGTCTCGAATTATATGAATAACAACACGAACGTGTTGAGAATAGAGCGTTGTACTAATTAGTTCGTTGAGACCAATCATTGAACTACAGTAGTTTATGATATATGACAATCCAACATATTCATGTTATTACTCACATATGGTTAGACTAGACACCCACGTTGTTTTTCGGATGTAACCTTGCTTGATAACTGCTTAACACTGTAGTTGATTGCAATTATTCCTAATAAAATATTTATTTTGTTTAATAACCCATGCACGTGTCTGCTAAATAGTTTAAACTTTTGACCCAATTTACAGAGAATAGCCTTTATCTCAGCAACGGTGGCAACAATTAGCTGCATACGCTTCATTTAATTCATTTAACTGTTTTTCGTTTGCTTTCTTCATCTGTAGATAGTGTTTTTTTCCTCTTCCATTCTCTTAATTTACATCATGTATTAATATGAAATTCTGATACATCCCAAATGTTCAACACTGAAAAGTTATCTTCATCAAATTTCTATATAAAAATTTCTAATGATTTTCCTACGTTCGTTTTCTTTTAGGCTTTAATTTTTAAAAGTCGAACATTCGGAATATAATAAGCAAATCGCGTGCAGCAGTAAATCTGCAGAAACAAAAATGGAAGAAATTATTCCAGATCTTTAGTCTACACTCCGAATAAAAAATGAAAAATCTTATTAATATTATATTAAAATAAGTACATTTAAATTAAATTTCTGACAAAATGACATGTAATTAAATATTGGATTTGTTTCTAAATTAAAATGAATTATAAATGAATTAATAATAAATAAAATTTTTTATACTTATTATGCTCGAGTACCGTTTATTTTATGATTACTGTAAACCAGTGTTTCTCAACCTCTAATGAATCGTCGCCCCCTTCAACGTAGTATCGCCCCCTTCACTTCAAAATTCCGATGCCGAGGGCCAAATTCGTACTGCATTGAATAGACTAGTGACTAGTATAATGTTATTTGTTTAATTATTGTACGATATAACGAATAAAATATCTAATTATTCTTAATTTAATGTTTTACTATATCGCCCAGAAAATTGTTTTTCGCCCCCTAAAATATAAATTGTTACTAATCGCCCCCTCAACAAGGAAAAACGCCCACATGGGGGCGATATCGCCCCCGTTGAGAAACACTGCTGTAAACAATCACCCTTAATATTGGAATATTTCCAATCATACACCAATAAAGTGTGTCATACATCAACAAATGGTAAGATGACAACAAGAAAAGTGTTTGCCAGCCTTACAAAACATAATGTCCATACTTTGAAAAATAATTTCCGAAGAGAAAGCTTGTATGTTTAGAAAGGAGACTTGCAAATGGTTGCAAAGTGTCCAGTCATCACTTTTTGCAACAGCACAGATTTTCAAGGAATTTAATTTTACGCAGTAACTGCTGGAAACCACAACCCAGTAAAGAGACCATACTGTATGTTTGTAATCACAAAAATTATTATCTGTATATAGAATTGAATTTATGTGTGTCTATTCGAAGATCAAATGAGAACGGATGAACTGATTTCTACAAAATTTTCTACAGTACATTATTTTCCAGAGCGAAATCAAATACCTCAGTTAGTAAAATTATAATCATAAAGGTAATAAAATGGTTCTATTTTTAATTTTAAAAAATTCTAAATTATATAGATTTATTTCAAGTATTAAAAATGAAAATGTAAACAAGTTATATCTAAAAATTTTTGTAAATTCAAGGAAATTAAGACAGAAAATTAATCGAACGACTAACTTCTGGAATATATACAACAGATTAGTATTAACAAAGAATATGGAAGTTTACATAATCACACGAAACTTCTATTATAATATTGAAAATAATAAGAACAGAAATTTGAAATAGTAATTCATTACAAAACTAAATAATCCTTAAATACAAGTTAATTACAGAGATTAGTTTTGTAAATGCATTCAATTTCTTGAGATCTATATAAAACTTTTTTGAGATCTTCATCTGTTAAATAATAAGCAATCTCAGAAATTTCTTTCATATGGTTACATAAATTTAATCTTTATTTTATCAACAGTTTAATCTAATAATGCACTGTTTAGGATTATGAACGACTTGTAAAAAAATTATGAAAATAGTATACGTTAACTTTCCATTATTACAATTGGAAATTTATACGGGAATTTATCTACACATTATATAAAACTTAATAAAGGGAATAGTGTACAATAATAAATCGAAAACATGAAGAATAGAAGTTATAAGTGAAAAATTATAAAATAAATAAATTCATAGATATTAAAATTAAAAATTACAGCCATACGATATAAACAAAAAATTCTGGATAGAAAATTGAAAGAATGTGCATTAATACAAACACATAAACATAAATTATTAAAATTTAGATGTTCGCGGGTTTAAGATATTCTATAATCCGAGGAATCCGGAATCGAATGTGATCAAGAATCTCATAATTTTCCTGAATAATTCAGATTAGTGAATCGTTTCCATCTCTTGTCTGTGTCTTCTGACTACTTGTATGCCTGGGGCCGAGCACATAGGTCTATGCAAAACTAACGAGTGAATCACTAAAATATTTTTTAAATAAATCACGAATTTTACCGTCATATTTATCCTGGCTGAAAATATTGTACTTTTAAAATTGGGTTTATAAACCTATTTTTTTTTTTTTTTCCTTGAACCCCATTCCTGCTGCGGGGGTGGGCCATACAGACTTCTCTACTGTCCGGGTTATGATACAAATATGGCAACCTAGGCCAATTTGCCAGAGAGTGTATGTCCAGACTTTGTTTTATTTGTGTACGACAACGCGACGTATGGGCGATATTGTGCCCATATGTCGCGTTGCACATAAAAATTTGCTTTATTTAGGTGTCTTCAATATGAGGAAAACTCCACATCGCGAGTCCGTTGGAAAGGGGCGAACCCACGACCAACTACCAGAGTTCAATGTTTTTATCCACTATGCCACTGCTGGGCGTATGTCCAGGAACTTTTCATAGATGGTTTTCCAGATTTAGGTGAAACGTTTGCACATAAGTAAATTAAATAAATTGCTATGTATTGGGATGCTGGTGCGGTTAAAAGCTTCACATATTTCAGTTTGCAAATAGATTTCATTTCTGTCTTCTTCAAGTCACTTTATTATGACACTAAGTACATTATGAAATAAATCATTTATGCTCACATAAACGTTTTCCCACAAATCTGGTTTATTGTCATTGTTATGAAAATTGTATTTTATCTCAAATTGAAATAAAGACATTTCCAAATATATGCTGAGAAATAAATTATTATTGTACATCAAGTTATAACTAAATTCAATAAATGTTAAAGACCATTACATCATTCACTATAACATAAATGTAACTAGTAAAACATTATCGTAAAATATAATGTACATTTAGTATTTCTCATAAACATAATGGAACATTTTAGAGACTAATTTATAATATTCGTTACACAGATGTTTCTCATCTTTTGTGTCATTTAGCGTAATTCAATCATTCGTGTTACATGAAAATTCTTATATACGGTTATCTTATATAAGTTTTATATATAGTATGATATCCAAGAGTGCAGTGTAGTAGCTAGATTGCATATTGGATTTTTATAAAGTGAACCTGGAGACTCTGCCTCTCGAGAAACAATTACGAGAAACATTTCTCTCAAATTTCTTATACTATATAATATCATGTACGTAAACGTTGAAGAAGAAATAACCTGTTCTTGTGCATTAATCGATCCTATTCTGAAATTTAACAAGCTGTTAGGAATCAACGTATTGTTCAAATGTCAACATTATCAAGGAAAGAAAACATCGAAATTGTTTAAATTCAAGCAGTACACTATTTTAATCATTCTCCTGTTTTTCAATGTTTTAATGCATTTAATGCTTTTACTCCCAAAGTCATCCTCATCTTATTATTGCTCCGATTATATGTATGTTATCGGTAGCGACTACGCAACGAATGTAGCGACGCATATAGTGTTTCGACATATGGGTTGTTCTATTTACATTGTCATGATGATCGGCGAAAGATTAGGATATGGCATTAGATTTAATTTAATTCACGATCAAAAGAAAATAAATCGTTTATACAAATGGCAGATTATTTTAGTTTATTCAGGTTTATGCGCAATTATCTCTACAGCTATTTTGATTAACATTTTCAATGGCATTTTTGCATTTCCAGAAATAGCAAAATCTACGAACACCGAAGTAGCTTCTGTATGCTTCCTTCTTCTTAACCTAGATATGGTATTATTATCATCAGTTTGTTTTTTTGGTATGGCAACGGTTTTCTTATGTTTGATTATTCTTAAAGGAAATTTCGACGATCTCAGTAGAAAAATTTCTAATGTTAGTTCTGAAATTGAAAATTTAGGCTATTTTATTCAGAAAATTCGAGATGAGTACAAGGAACATTCCCTTCTTTTAGAAGAATGCAATCTTTTATTCAGTAACATCTTTTCTGCCCTTTATTGTTCACTTATAGCACTAGTTTGTATAATACTGTACAATTTACTGTATTTTACTTATGACGTTCTCGCCTTCACAGTTATTTACACTGTCTTAAATTGTGTTATATTTGTAAGTATTGTAGTATGGATATTCGTTGCTGAGATATCTGTATCTGTAAGTACTATTTACTCATTATTTTAATGAATTTTTTTCTGTTGTTGTTGCTTAGTCTAACTGACTTAAAATAGTGCCTATTTTTATCATATAATATATAGGGTGTAAATGTAAATAGCGTACAACTTTACAAGTGAATGATGTTTGTGTGTCCACAGGCATTAACTCAAAGTTTTTGTGTTAAGTCCACCTCAACATCTGGTGGCACATAGAATTTCTAATCATATTCTAATATTATATTAATTAAATTATCCACAACCGTGAGGCAGATAATAGTGAGGGCTTATCAGACCAATGATGGGCACAAACGCTCAGGGATCAAAGTAAAAACAATTTAATAAACTCAAAAAATTACTACATAAGTGTGAAAACGAAAACCCAAAA